AAAAAAAACATATTTTGGAGGGCTGACATATTTGTTCGGGATTACAAGTGATATTTTAGTTTTGTTTTATTTTTAAAATTTTAGACTTTTTAAGGATTTCATTTATAGAGAAATCTTTAATTAGAGCATGTTTGTTTATGGAATTTTTTAAAAAATTTCTAACATTTTAACTCAACCATTTTTTTAACTCAACTTTAATTCAACCTCACTATCATCAATTATTATCAAAATAATTAAAAAATATCAATCAATCATTCATACACACCACATCAACCTTAATTCACTATTCATCCACTCACATTATTTTAACTAACCATCACATCAAACCATCTCTTCCCTACTTTTATATCAAACTATTTTAATTATTATATTTTAAATATTATTTTAATATATCCACTAACAACTAACCATACTACCTTTTTCAAAATTAACCAAACCAAACCAAAAAATCCAAACAAAACCAAAAGTTTCTATAAACAAACATGCTCTAAAAATCTTATGTTTGAATACGTATTGAGAATGAGATAGAGATAGAGAGCCTTGATTGAGCTTCACAATATGCCCTTGATTGAGCTTCCCAACATGCTCTATCTCAATCTCTGCTATTTTCGCCGCATCTAGCTCTGGTCATGGATAATTTGGAGCAAAAACTCAAAGAATGTAATCTCAGCCAGAGGGAAGAAAACACCGTCCCCTTGCGAGACGGAGATATAACGTCGAGTGCTGAAGAATGTGATCGTAGCCTCTTTGGCAAAGTAATTGGCGACAGAAAGGCCCACCTCTACGGTCTCAGGTGAACCATGACACAAATATGACAAATTCAGAACCAAATGGAGGTCCGGGAACTACAAAACAATTTTTTTCAATTCATATTCGAGGATGTCGAGGATAAAAAGAAAGTGGCAAGAGGGAAAAATTGGACCTACGAAAATCAGTATTTGCTCCTGAAAGAATGGCAAGAAGACATTAACGCAGAGCACGAGTGCTTCTCAGAAATGGACATGTGGATCCAAGCAGATGGCATCCCTCTGAATTGGCTCAGTGTAGAAGTGGGCATCAAAATTGGCAAAGTGTTCAAGAATGCTAAAAATGTGCTAATTACAAACTCAAGCACCGGAAATGGTAGGTGTATAAAGTTCCTCGTCGCTGTGAATATCAAAGAGCCACTCCTCAGATGTACTAAGATTCAACTGGGGGAAAAGTTCAAAGAGTCATGTTCTCCTATGAAAAGCTCTTAAATTTCTGCTATTACTGCGGTTTCATTGGTCATCTTGAACAATCATGCGGCATACGAGCGGCAGATATTGAAGCTGGCAATCCCCAAAAGCGCCAATTTGGTGAATGGATCAGAGTCCCAGAATCACAATCCATTTTGAGATCCATATATCATGCTACTTACTCAGGTACATCCACTCACTCTCCCCCATCCTCCCCAAATAAAAGCTCTAACCCAAATATTCCTTTGAACCCTCAGCAATCTCCTTCAAATCCTGCTTATCACTCCAACCAATCCACACCTGACTCTAAGCTCTCCCTTATAACCCCCGTTCAGCCAATCTCTCCACCTCCTGCAAATGCCATTAGTACCTTGCCCCCTCACAACATAACTGAAGATCCACTAGAACCATCCCCTTCTAATATGGTAATAGTCCACAGCCCAGACCAATCTTGTTCCCCTGTCACTGAAACTTATGAAACCACCAAAATGCTTTTAGAACTCTCTTCCCCTACCCCAAAACCTACTAAAAAATGGACCAGAAAAGCTAAACTCCCCTCTATCCCAAACACTTCCAACCAAAATTCCTATTCTCAGAATGCCCCCCTCAAATCCAAAAGAGGAAGGCTGCAGTCTAATGAAGCCACCCCCTCTAATCCTGTCTCAGATTCTATTGATCATCCTAACCCAATCTCTAAGAAACAAAAACAATCTTCTTCTAAGGTGGAGGCAGCCAGCCTGAAGTGGCTCCCAACTGATAAATGAGAGTTATGGTGTGGAACTGTAGAGGTCTGGGAGGACCCTCTACAGTTCCCCATCTCAAGGAGTCTATTAAACTCCACCTCCCATGGTTTACTTTTCTTGCTGAAACTAGGAAATCTTCTGCATTTGCAAATACTATCTGTAAAAAGCTTGGTTTTGCTGGCCATTGTCTCCCCATAGACCTCACTGGCAATAGTGGTGGTCTTCTTTTGCTCTGGAGTAAGGAGATTGTGATCATCAATATTATCTCTCACTATATCTGTATTGAAGTTGAAATCCAGCACTCCTCATCATCTGCTAAGCACTGGGCTATCTTTGTCTACATGAGCCCTTATTCTGAGGAGAGATATATGCAAAGGAACTACCTGATCAATGCCAAAGACAACTGGGGTGACTCCTGGATTATTGCAGGAGACTGGAATGATATCTGCAACAGAGAGGAAAAAAAGGGTGGTAGAGGAAGACCAGACAGTAGCTTTAGAGGCTTTAGAGATTTCATTGCTAATATGTATATGCTTGAAGTCCCTATGAATGGCAATCAGTTTACCTGGTGTAACAACAGAATGGGACCTCAGTTTGTGGAAGAACAATTGGACAGGTTCTTCACCTCCTATGGTTGGATCTCCAACCACCCTCTCACTGTGTCCACTAGCATTTGCAGAAGTTCATCAGACCACAACCTCATTTTTCTCACAGACTATCCTGATCATCAGCAACCAAAGAAAAGATTCTTCTTTGACAGAAGATGGGTTGGAAAAGAAGGAATACAGGATGTGATCTCTCAGGTCTGGAAGGCTCCACACTCGGGCACACCTATGTATCAGGTTCAATGCAAAATCAAAGAGACCAGAATCTCTCTACTAAAATGGAGCAGAAATTTCAGAACTGAAAACTCAAAGAAAATTGACAGCTTGTCCAAAGAGCTGGAAAATTTGAGATCTCTGGGAGGGGACAGGGACTAGAATTTATGGCATAGCTTGAAGAACCAATTAGACAATGCCCATAAAGAAGAAGAAAACTACTGGCATCAAAAGTCAAGGATTCAATGGCTAAAGGCTGGGGACAAAAACACTTCCTTCTTCCATGTCTACACTATGCAAAGGAGGAAAACTAATCACATCTTCAGACAGATTAGTTCTGATAATAGGATCCATCAATCTCAAATTGAAGTGGAAGACTGCATTGCTGACTTTTATAGCCACCTTTTCTGCTCAGAAGGCTCTTGGGAATCTGAAGGTCTTCTTGACTGCATTCACTCATCCATCTCCACCTCCTCTCACTCATCATTGTTGGCTCAAGTAGGAGAGACTGAGATCAAGAGAGTCCTTGACAGCATGAACCCAAATAAGGCCCCTGGACTTGATGGTATGTCCCCTCTTTTCTATCAAAAGTACTGAAACATTGTTAAATCTAACCTATGCATTGCCATTCAAAGTTTTTTTGAGTCTTGCCAACTTCTAAAAAGCTGGAACCACACAACAATCACTTTGATTCCTAAAGGCCCTAATCCCACTCATGTTTCTAACTATAGGCCTATAAGTCTGTGTGGTGTCCCCTACAAAATTATTTCCAAAATTTTGGCTTACAGATTAAAGCACTGCCTTCACTCCTGCATTTCTGAAGAACCAAACTACATTTATTCCTGGTAGAAATCTACTAGATAATGTAGTGGTTGCTCATGAAGCTATTCACTTCTTAAATAGGCATACCTCTGGTAATAAATATATGATGGCTCTTAAGCTGGATATGGCAAAGGCCTTTGATAGGATTGAGTGGAATAGCATCAAGAAAATCATGTTAAAAATGGGTTTTCCTTCAAAATTTGTGAACTGGATCATGGCTTGTGTCTCCTCTCCCAATTATTCTTTCAATGTTAATGGTGCTGTGAGTGGTTTTGTGACTCCTTCCAGGGGTATTAGGCAAAGAGATCCTATCTACCCCTATATATTCATTATTGTTGCTGAGCTTTTTTCCTGCCTCATTGCTAAGGCTATTTCTGAAGGTGATCTGCAGGGTATTAAGCTCTCTAGAAATGGCCCAACCCTCAGTCACCTATTTTTTGCAGATGACACAATCCTGTTTTGCCATGCTAACACCCAAAATGCTGCTGCCATTCTGAATATTCTCCAAACTTATCAACTTTTCACTGGACAAACAGTAAAGCTGCAAAAATCATCCATTTTCTTCAGCAAAAACACTCCCATTGCAACCAGAAGCAATATCTGCCAGACCCTCCATGGTATCCAACACCAGCTCTCTTGCAAATACCTTGGCTTACCCCTTCAAATTGGCCATTCTAAAAGACAGACATTCCAATATGTGATTGAGGTTGTCAGAGCTAGAATTTCAAGATAGAAGAACAAGTTTTTGTCCCTTGCGGGCAGAGAAGTTTTAATCAAATCAGTACTTAGTGCTCTACCTGTGTTTGTGATGTCATGCTTTATCCTACCCATGTCTGTGTGTGATGAGATCAACAGGTTAATGGCTGAGTTTTGGTGGAGCAAAGGAGACAATGCTGTGAGAGGAATACACTGGAAAAGTTGGAAATTGCTAACTCTACCTCTTGAAAATGGAGGCTTGGGTTTTTCTGATCTAAATTTTTTTAATGAAGCTCTTGTTTTCAACCAACTGTGGAGACTAATCACAAAACCCAACCTCATGATGAGCAAAGTCCTCAAGTGCAAATACTACCCTAAGGGCTCTTTTTTTCAAGGCCAAACTCTCGCAAGTAGTTCATGGTTATGGAGAAGCTGGATGAAGACTTGCCCTTCCTTTCAGCAACACCTCAGAATGAACATTGGTGACGGGCAGACAACTCTCATTTGGGAGCACCCTTGGCTGCACACTCTCCCTGATTTCAAACCTAAGAGAAATCCCAGCTGCACTTACTCCTTCTCAAAGGTTTGCCATCTTATGAGCACAGTTGATAATGGCTGGGACACTGAGTTGATAACAACAACATTCTCCCCTCAAGAAGCTGCTGCCATTCTACTCTTAAACTGCCATGACAGATCAAGGCCTGACAGATTTGTTTGGGCTCCATCTAAAAAAGGCTCATTTTCTGTCTCTTCTTCTTATGCTCAGTTGATTTTAGAGAAAATTAGTAAGCTGGATTCTCCTAAAAACAGTTCTCAGTCTGCTTGGATCAACAAAGTTAGATCACTCAGCTGGAAGCTCAAAGTTAAAAGGAAAATAAAACATTTCATCTGGAAATGTTTTAACAATACTCTTCCTTGCTGTACTAACTTGATTAAAAGGGGATTGCATATTGATCCCATCTGTAAAATGTGTGGGGAGGCTGAAGAATCTGTAGAACACATTTTCTTCCACTGCTATAGAGCTCAAGTAATCTGGAAGCTTGCACCTTTGAAATGGAATACCACCCACCCTCAGACTCCTTGTTTCAAGCATTGGTGGAAGGACATTTGCCTGGCAAAAGTCCAACAGTTGTGGATAGAATTGAGCTCACCACATACATTCTGTGGTGGCTCTGGAAATCTAGAAATTTGTGGCTCTTTAAGCATTCTTGGCTGCCAGAGAAAGAAGCCATCAAATCTGCTTTTCTGGAATGGCAAGAATTCTCTAATGCTCAATTTTAGGCTTTTGTTTTGTATATTTCCTCTAGTTGGCTTGCTGCTTGTTTTTTTTTGCTCTCTCTTGTTCTTGCATTCTGCTTCTCCCTTCTTGGTTATTCCCTAGCTAGGTTCTTCGGTTCAGTGGCTAGTTTTCATTTTGTATGTAGGCCTAGATAGGTTAGCTAAAGGTCTCAGTATTTTTACTGCTTTTTAGCTTCTTATCTGGGTTTGTATTATTTAGTTCCCCTAGTGGAACTTCTGATTTGTATAGGTCACTTGGCCTCCCGAACATTGTATATTTGCTGAAGTTTATTCATATCTATCGTTTCGATAAAGAAAAAAATACGTATTGACTTTTTAAAAACTTTAAAATCTCAAGTAAATATCATTGAACTTCTAAAATTTTTAGAAAGTCCAAGGTGAATACACCTTATAATCCTTTTTATTACAAAAGATTTCACTAAAGTCTACAATTTTAAAAAGTTGTGTCTTAAAATATTGGAACAACACCTGAAGACAATGCAAGAAAGATAAGAACAAAGCCCCCGACCCAATCAAGAAACTCAAAACTCTCGATACTCAATAGGCTATGACTGACTCAACCAGAATCAACAAAGCCAAGACCTATTTCTATACGGACCACAACAGGAAAAAAACTCCGAGGCCCGGCGATCATCGCCTCTCCCGGCACAACTCCAGTAATTACAACCAAACAACTACAACCGCTAGAGGGGACCGTCCTTCTCAGATCCAGAGAATCGTACGGCCCAGGAGAAGCCATCGTCCTGAAAATAGCTTCGACCGCCACAAGGGCAATGACCTTTGCCGGCTACATCATCCACACACCCAAGAGATCGTCTAGATCCACGAGTCATCTACTTGGGGAGGGAACTTCAAGTCGAGAACCAAAGTGGACAGCACAAGGACACATACGAGACTTGGCCTGGGCCCATCACCTTCGAGGAGGGGAAGCAGCGACAGCAACGAAGAGGCAAAATGGCTTGGGAATTACTAAATCAAGGGGAAAATGAGAAGATTAGGGCGAGGAGGGATAAAGAAGACGAGTTGCAGAGACGAAATCCTTTCTTGATTTACTGTTCATGGAATTGGGGAAGAAAATTTCAAAGAGAGAAAAAAGGGAAAATGAGAAGCTCAAAGGGAGATTAATATACCACACTAGGCTTGGGTGAGCAAAACTTATGACCTAATTGGATACAAGTTATTTTGAATTTATTGGATAAATATGAGTTAATTTATAAAAAGTTGATTGTTTGATTTGCTTGAAATTTTGAGCTTATATTTAAATACTATTTAAAATATAATAATTAAAGTTAATGTGATGTCAAATAGGATAGAAGGGGCTTGTTCCATGCTACCCATGAGGTCTTTGGCTGCACATTTACACATACACACACACACACACACACACACCCATATTGGCATGCGGAATGTGTGGTAAAAAAA